ATAACTGAGGTGTGGAGTCAGAAATCAACGAGAGCCACAAAGTTTTTCTTCAGTATTCCCTCTCTCTTATCGACGTGTACTGCGGGAGCCCTACTTCTTGACCAGTTTGACTCAGACCCTAGCTAAGTCAAGTCAAAGAAGTGATCATGGCTGATTTTCAACAACAGCCCATAACGAAGAGGGCAAACCGAACCATAGTCCCATGGTCTCCAGCCCATGTTATCACCAACTACAGGGATTCCAGACTACCCTGTTTATGCTTGGACAGTGAGTGCGTCGAGGATGGAGACATAGGATACCATCGTCTCCTCTCCAACGATCAATTTGACGGACCTGGATGGTTCCGAATACTCGACAAACAAGAATCCATGCCTGCCCAGCGGGATTCCCCCAAGCTTGCAGAGTGGGTGTACAGGCTGAAAGATCATCATGAACAAATTGTATGCAAGGATCCTAGTGTTCCAAAAAATGGAAACGATGGATTCAAATCCATATTGAGGACATGGTTGATGCATCGTCACCAGGTAGTAGCGACACCTAATGTGATTCACTCTTGTTGGCTGGTCAGCGGCCCCTCGTACCAAAGACGAGTCTCCTACCTGACTCGTGCAGCTTTCCATAATAAAATTCAGCAGCAAGTACTAGAGGGGTTAACCCGACGAATATTTATGTTTATAGATGAGTTAGAGAACCAACCATTAGTTAACATATTTCGTGCGGGATTCACGCAAGATTTGACGCCCGAAAATTTCAGATTCGAAGACGATGATATCGAATCGACAAGACGTCAATGGACATGATTAAGATAGGTTAACAATATCGTATCCGAGTTATGGGGATACACCTATCATGTAAACCGAAGCGACTGCATCATCTAAGGGAGGATGATGAAATATACCAATATTTCTGGTATAGCTGAGGCATGTCACTTCGGGTATAGGAAGTAATGATACAGGAAGCAGTGGCTTCCTGACTAACGTACAGTGTTCCACTTAGACAAGTGGGTTACTAATACCAGAACACTTCCGTGTTCTGGTTACGGGTATTCCCCTTCCCTGGAAGGGTATATATAAGAGCATACCTGTGTGTAATAAACTGAGGAGCTAAGGAGCAGTAGTGTTCTCACCGAACCACCGACTCTTTATTTTTGTGCCGTGATCTTCCAGATTCACAGGGTGTCGTTTCAGATTGGTGTCCACAGACTTAGCTAGTGAGCCCAGATTCCATCACCCTCAAATCACGTCGGACCTCAGTCGTCACACAACTCACGATGACTCGATGATTGCCCACACCCGGAGTTCAGGTCAGCTGGGAGGTGACGACGAACTGAAATTCTGCGCGCTCTTTTATACTCAAAATCGGTAGAGTTCAACGACCGCCCGGAAATCGAAACTTCCGGCGCACCCCGCGGAATTCAGATAATCAGCTATATTTCTTGTTTAGGTAAGCAAATAGCTGTCGATTTCTATGGAGTATGGAAAAAGGAAGGGAATGATAGAAAAACAAGTCATTCTTGACTAGTTCACAGTTTCCCAAACCCATAGAAGTAGGCCATCGTAGATCGTAGATTGACCATGCCAGTAATCAGCAACCCGCTAATCGCGGACGTATTCAAACGCATTCGATTATGTCGAAAGCACATACTAGATATTTTGTACAGAGTAACCCTTTCTGACCGCATGTATCTAGTAGTATATAAGCTAGTTCAATAAAGGTCTTCAGCACTTGAGGAGAATTCCCGTTCGGATTTACTTCAAGTCTGTTGTGTTCATTCTACTGTGGTGATCATCGTTTGTGCTATCTCATCGTTCGAAGCCTCGCTCAGAACTCAGCGTCCAAGCTCGAAAAACCGTCCAAATATCCTTCAATACCGACAGCCTGATACGAGCATCGGACCGACTCGAAAGAAAAATCCTAGAAGCCATAGAGGACGCATCTGACTCCTGGGAGAAGAAACTCGAAGACTGCAAAAAATCGGCCCCCAGGTGCACCTGCGAAAGAGCCACCCAGACTGAAAAAACTGGCGTGCCAAGAAACGAGGGGAAAGAGACAAAAGTCGAGGTTTGCCGGAAATTCAACAGGCTGCACAGCCTGGAAGAAATGATCGAACTGGCCGAGCAGACCTGGCCGAAAAACACGTGCCACAGCGTGAAGACAACAAAGACAGGGATCGTGTCGAATAGAAGCCAGAAGATCCTTCTGATCGACCCGGAGGACAGAGGGAACAGGACGACCAACGTGATAGAACAGCTAGCGAGGTTCTTTCCAGCAGTACGCGGGGCGAAGTCGCTGAATGACGGAGAGGTTGCGATGACGGAGGCGAGCACACCATCGACCCTGGCTAGAGAGAACGGAGACCCAGTGGTAAGCGAGAAGAAGACCCTTATCATAGGTAAAATCCAAGCGGAGCCGACAACGATGGATATTGCTGAAATCATTCAGAAAATCCCGGCAAAGGTCAGCCTTATAGAGAGGGTGTGTGACGAGAAAATCCTGTTACAGATCCCGAATACTTGGGATTTAATCATGACCCAGAAACTTCTTGAGAT